GCTCAGCATCAAAACATAATTTGAAATTTGGAATACAGATTTCAAGATGATTGGAGTGTCGAACATATTGAAATGTATCTGAAAATTTGTAAAATCTTACAATAAACATGATAAACATTCAATCTCCGCCCCTAAAAAGAATTCGGGAGCACTAATTTTCTGCTTTGATTGAATTACAAGGAGTTTAGAATGTTTGTTTTGTAGTGAAACTTGGTTTCAAAAGGAAACCTTTTTAGGTTCATTTATATTTCTACTATATTATGTCAAACATGCTTTAAAAATGCTTCCTTTAAGCTGTTGTCAGGATGAAATGAAATGAAGGATATCTGAATGATCTCGAAATCAACTAAAAATCGACTCGAAAAGATTTGGGTATATCTCACTCTGAAGGGTGAAGCATGCTTGTGCAATAGGGGACTCTGGCCTAAGGACCAGTCTAACTCCGTAGGGCTCTGAAATTAAAAACAACACCATCTTCAAAAATCTCTCAGAAAATGATTAGAATTCAGCAACAAGAAAAGAACCACAAACTCGGGCAAGAGTCTTGTTGGGGTTTTGTTACCAAATGTTTCCCAAGCTTGTTACTACTACCAGCACATTATTTTTTTAAAATAGTTGATTATACAACAAGATATCACCTTTAGTGGGTTGGAACCTTAAAGTTGATTAATCAATTGGCTGTCAATGTTTTTGATGAGTTGTTTTGGGGAACCATAGTTGGTTTCCAATCACACAAAGAACCAATTTGGTTACCAAAAGCTACACTGATGGGGATGATTAACTGTCAAAGTTGATTGAAGCTGGGATAAGCTCAGGATTTAAGGACTAAAAAGCAATGAATGAAATCAAGTGACTCCATTTGTTGGCTATGCGACAAAAGCTGTGATGGCTTGACTGCATCATAGCATGGCTGTGAGGCATATGCTACAGATACCATTCACGCATGCATGCAGTCACACATGCAAATTACATTAAAAGCAGATATACACAACGTTACACTGGATTTGTACACACATTATATGCAGTGCCTGTCACCACAAAATGAGCTTAAATTTGGAATTTAAAAAAAATTGAGATGTTGGTATTTTTTAATTCAGCATAAAGAGAGCTTTCCAGTGGTATGTACATGGAGCACTTTGGGTAAAAGTATAAAGTGATAATGTGACATTATTCTGGCAGCTTTGCGTCTTTGTTCCCGACATTGTTTCAATATTTCTAACCAGGTATGAATAATGCTGTCGTCAAATTCGGTGAGAAAATGACATATTCAGATACATCATCCTGCTAAAAATCTGGAATTAAATAGGAGACGGGTTACTCCTTCCAAATATTACAAAAACCCCCAAACTGACCTCCACTTCAATGTGACACTTTGAATCATCAAAATAGAAAAGATCAGGATACGACTTTACACCCATTTTGTCTTAACAGGTCACATATGGACACACAGACTAAGAACATGACTGCTCAAGACAAATCAGACAGTCTTCATGACATTGTAAGTTTGACAGATGCAGTTATGTAGCATAAATGTATCTTACCTGAACTTTTCCATTAGTTTCTGTCACTGATAGGTCCTGCTTTAATAGGAGAAAAAACACAGAAATATAAGTTAGTTGGCTACAGGATTACTAGAAACCCTTTCAGTTTTCCTTTCTTCTTTTCATGAAGGACTGTACAAGTAATAGACTTAACTGTAATCAGACAACTGAACAAATGTAAAAAAAAAACACTCATGGGCTCATTTACACAGCATGAGATAAAGGATACTCATGGACTACACACTCATTACACTCACCTCTGTCAGGACTGTACACTCATTACATTCATCCCAGTCAGGACTACAGTGTAGAAACTCATTTCATTCACCTTAGGACTGTGCACTCATTCCATTCACCCCAGTCAGGACTACGGTGTAGAAACTCATTCCATTCACCTTAGGACTGTGCACTCATTCCATTCACCCCAGTCAGGACTACAGTGTAGAAACTCAATCCATTCACCTTAGGACTGTGCACTCATTCCATTCACCCCAGTCAGAACTACAGTGTAGAAACTCATTCCATTCACCTTAGGACTGTACACTCATTCCATTCACCCCAGTCAGGACTACAGTGTAGAAACTCATTCCATTCACCTTACGACGGTGCACTCTTTCCATTCACCTCAGTCAGGACTGGGCACTGATTTAATTCACCTCAGTCAGGACTGTACACTCACTACATTCACCCCAGACTACAGTGTAGAAACTCATTCCATTCACCTTAGGACTGTGCACTCTTTCCATTCACCTCAGTCAGGACTGGGCACTCATTTCATTCACCTCAGTCAGGGATGTACCCTCATTACACTCACCTCAGTCAGGACTGTACACTCATTAAATTCACCCCAGTCAGGACTACAGTGTAGAAACTCATTCACCTTACGACTGTGCACTCTTTCCATTCACCTCAGTCAAGACTGGGCACTGATTTATTCACCTCAGTCAGGAATGTACACTCATTACATTCACCTCAGTCAAGACTATTCCCTCATTATATTAAAAACCTCAGAGAGAACGGTACACTCGAAGTATTTACCTCAGTCAGCACAGTACACTCATAGGAAGGATGATATTTCTCTTTTTCTGAGTCTGATATCTTCTCCATTTTGTCTCGATCTGTTTTGTGTTTTCTATCTGCTCCCTTTGGCTACAGAAACATAAAGAAAGCAACAAGAAAATCCACATATTTCAAGTCAGAATTTCTCATGGTCATTTTTACAATAGCAGAACCCCAAACACATAATTATTTGTCTGGTTTGGGGGAACTATGACACAATGGGACATGTAATGGCACATTTTTTACCTTGTTTCAAAAACAATTCCTTCAGTATTAGCAATACAAAAAATTGACAGGTTATTGATGGAATATTTTCTTTAAAACCAAAAGGCGCTGTTGAGGATTTTTGTGGGTAGGAATATGAGACAGGTACCTTGAACACTTTGACCTGGCAGCTAGCTGAGTGTATTGGTTTCTCTTGTTCTTTGCCATGGATATACGTATCCACATGAAGACGAAAGACAACCCCTTTCTCTCCACCATGCTTCTTTGGTGTGAACTCTGTGCTGATACAGTTAACCTGCAAACAATTACAGGAACATTTTTTTTTTTAATTGATCCCATCAACACTGAGTAGTGTGTGGCAAATGTATAAACCTAAATCATAACAAGAATCCTGAGAAATCCTCCACTATCCAGAGAATCCTATAATTTTTGTTCTCTTAATAGTGTGCAGGGTGATCAGTCATGATCATCCCAAATCTCTCATAACTTGTCAGGAATTGGTGGGGACGATGTTGGCACATGGTAAAACGCCAAAGTGTGATGTTGGCAGAAATGATTATTACCCTAACCACCCCCAGATTCATGAAATCCTTTCCCGCTCTTTGGTGGATTTTGGACTTGGTCCTGAAGGCCTGAAGTACTGCTAGGGCATCCAATGCATGTTGTCATGACAACAGTGCTGATGACACCACGTGGGCCATGTGCTAGTTAACAAAATTTAGATAAGTTGAATAGTTTATTCATTCCCTTGAGGTTCAAGTATTGAGATTTGACTGTATTATTACGTGTGAATGTATTCAAAGTATTCATTGTTCACTAGGCCACTTAATTTGGTCATCTAAATTGAAAATTCAGGCAGTGATCTGTAATTTTTTCCCAAATCCAATTTTATCCCTGGTGGCAATTCCACAATCCAAAATCCAACTAATTAAACAAAGGGCCTAAAGCACACAGAATTTAAATTATATTACACTTTCATATTAGATGAATGACAGACAAATGCATTAATACAACGAAACAAAGTGGAGATTTTTATGCTGTCTTATTGACAGAACTTTAATTCAAAAAAACACTAAAATACCTGGACAAAACAGCTGGCAACTTGAGTTGGATCCCAGAGACATTCCACGGCATTCAGGGCACAATTGTTGGCATTATACTCAATGATGTTATGTGACAGAGGTACATCTAGCTTTATAAGGCGTTCACCTGGACGGTTAGTTCGCCATGAAGCAAGTTGCTCAGACTCAGCATACTGAAGTCGTTTATCATTGAAGAGAACTCGGACCACACTCTGACACAAGACAGATACATAGAAGACCTACCATAAAACTGTGAGTGGTTTGTGGGCTCCAGTCTTCATAACAATGTAAAAAACAAAATTGATAATAGCATTCCTTACCAACATTTATACACTGTACGTAATCGGTCATCCATCCCATGTCAATGAATACCAGCAAAGTGTTTCACTTTTGCTGTTTCCATTTTCATGCCCACTAGGTCTTGTACACTACATACATTTTGTGTACTGCACACATAATTTTCTTTCAAAATACAAATCACTTCACGTGCACTGGCTCAATTTAAAGATCATGTGGTCCAATTTATAGAGTTTAAATAAACCCACAAACTCTAAGAGGGTTAAAAACATGAAATGCCCCATCAGCATGATTAGATAGTTTACAAGACTTGCTGGATGATTATTCAATGTGGTGCACTATTTCTTACCTTCAACAGCTTGCCTTCAAACTGTGACACGTTTCCTAACTTCTTTAATCTTAACTCATATGATTTGCCTTGGTTGAGGTAGGTTAGTGTTTCTTCGTTCACCTTAGTGGCTGGTGATGTGGCTGCATTTAATATACACTGAAACCTAAAAGTAATGATAGGATCACTGATAAATATAAATGGTGTAAACAATGGTACCTCCTGTAGAAACAAAAGTACATTTACAATAACAGCCTCTTGTCAACAAACAACCTATTGTAAACAAACAATCTGTTGTCAACATAACGCTCAAATGGTCTTTTTTGATGAGGCCCATTTCCATCTGAAACAAATGTTCTAAAATGAAATGAGGATGTTTTGAAAAGTTTTAGTGATGTGTGTAGTACTTCAAGTTGTGTTTACGGAACACTATTTATTGATATTTAAATTAATGTTCAGAACTTTTTCTACCACTACAGATGTCTGGTAACTACATTGTAACAGATGCCTATCTGGATCTCAAATCATTCTGTACTTACCCATCTTCTGCATTCTCTTGCTTGAATATTGGCAAAGCCAAAACCTCACTGTAACAGAAATGTACAAAAGTCAGAATGCGCATTGCATCAATTCTACCATTTCATACTTTTATCAACCTTAATTTAGTTTTAACATCAGCCCTCTGTGCAGATTTCTGAGGGTCTTCTTATAACAGCCACTAGTTCCAATTCAGGCACTGTGGACAAGTATCCTCTCACTGTTGGAAGAGAGTGACAAATACTTGAATACACCATAACCTTATCCATGGCACAGACAATGAAGGTTGGCTGTGTGTCCTTTGCTTTATAAATGCAAGAATCGATGCACGCATATGGTAGTGTACATGTACATTATGCATGTACATGTATGTTTGCCCAAAGGGGTGTCCTAGGACTTGTTACAAAGCATCCCTTTCCTTCAAGCATAGAGCGCAGCATTTCATCACAAATGAAATCAAACATAACTACACAGGTTTTAAATTCTTAGCAGCACTTATGCATCACTGCTCTTAAAGCAACTTTGATTTCAAACATGAAAGTCAAACACAAAATAAGGAGAGCTTGACGTCTCGATCCTAGCAGAATCCTTCTATAAAGGAAAATCAAGCAGTAAGATTTACAGAAAGATTAAACACTGTTTTATGTCAATCTGTTTGTGGTTCAACATGGCAAAGGTTGACCACAAGAAGTCTCACATAATCCAGGTCCATGTACTACCAGTTATATTGGTACACATACCTCATATTATAAGCAGCTGTGCCGAGTTCCGTCCCCAGACCACTCAGGTTGGAATCAAAATCAGCTGCCAAACCACCATCTAGCTGTAACCTCCAAGACATTTTGACTCAATGCTGCATGAAGTATAGAAAAAAATATATGGACAACACTTGTTGATCCCTGTGCACAAACCTATGAGACTTAATAACTGAAAAAAGTGTTTCCTAAGTAAATTCTTCAGAATGTTCTTAGAAAAATTTCACTTTTCAGACAAGTTATCGCTTTCTAATGGCTGTCATAACATTCTATGGGAAAATCAGTGTTGCTTGAACATAGAAATCTTTCCGTAAAAAATTACGAAGGTGTAATTTACCAATTACAAAAAAGAACCTATGAAGGATACTTGGACTCTACTATAGCCCAACCATGTAAAAATGTTTAAATTAAGGCGATTTGTAGAGTCTAAGTTAACTTGGAATCTAGGCCTAGGGTTTAACACATTTTTACGTATTCTCCCAGTTGGACGTTGTTCCAATTATTGCATTCACATCTAGGCAAAGGGGCAATTCGCCATTCACTGTTTTCCTCCTTTTTGCTGCAGCATGATAAAAAGAACTGAAACCTTTTCGGTACAGTGTTGGAGTTGTTCATAGTGCAAAAATATTGAAATTTGAGGCACATTTAATGAAAAGGTTAAGAGTTTAGTCAAGAATTCAGATTTTTCCTGGAAAGACCGCAACACCATTTTTGCCCCTTTGAGTTTGAGAGTGAAATGTGGGATAGCCACCAACTGACCAATCAGAGAAAAGAATCAAGAATCAGTGATGTACATGTAATCCCAACCGTGATAATGTCAGACTCACTGTTTAGGTGACTGTTTCGTGGAGAACTGACAGTGGGCAAACTTGGGACGTGATCCTGAAAGGATTTGAGGATCAGATTATTCATGATATTGATAATAAGGCCTGTATGAACTATGATCCCATACACTTCCCATACCATACAAAGCACACAGGTGTACATGTACATTATTGATAGAGTACAGCTGTACAGTGCCTTACAAATTAATTAATGCAATGCCTAGGCCTACAAGTATCGGGGAGAATGCTAAATTTGCGCATACGAATATTCACCCATCCAACTTTCTCGTGAAATTCTGCAACGAAGATATGCACCCCTTTTACTGTCAATGATCGTCACTTCAACATTTTCTTTTTGCAGCTATGTGCGAATTAAAAGCTTTTCCTGAAAGAATTCAGGAAAAATGTCAACAGAAAATGAAGCTTTACTTTACAGACGAAAAAACAAAAAAATGAACCGGTTATAATTATCTAGAAAATGAATAAATGATCACTGGTTGTTCACGATCAATGTCAGATGTCTAATACAGGCACTAATTACGACTTTGATCAACTTTGACCAAGTACTGAGGGCGTTACCAAAACATCGAGCTTGAAAAAATATTCCGCACCTTATATTTTGCGATTCCCATTGGCGATGACGGGCACAAATTTGGTAGCACTGTATTTTGTGACTGTTTTGAAAAATACACATTTTGTCATAATATCCAGAGAAATAACTCATATTAATTTAATGCTAGTTAAGATTTAAAATTGGAAAGAATAAAAATTAATGCCTCACTGTAACTTCAAATTAAATTGGAAAAAAAATTAAACCTAGAACAAAAAAGAGAAAGTGATGGGAAGTTAAGCTATTGCTAATAGATATGTTTTTTCCTCAAACTGCATAGCTAAACCAAGGTAATTGATGCAACAAACAGTTCCTCATTCAAGAGACATTAACTGGCTGATTTTTCAGATGAAGGGTATTATCGATAGTCGCTATACCCCGTAAAATGACATTCGCAACGTACATGCGCGGATTATGGTGACATACATGTAGGTTTTCTATGTCAGTACACTACAGCCGATCCGACTCATTTGCAGACGACATTGTCATGACTGTTCTTGTTGCTTTGGTGACATCTGATATTCTTCATAATGTAATTCCATATAGGATTTCAGTCAAACATTCAACTACTGAAAGTGAAACCATAAAATTTAGTATTTAAGAACAAATTTTGGTCAAAGTACAAAGTGCGCGAATTACGGTGACTCATGGATTACATGGCCCACGGTACATGTACGCCTAGGTAGTAGGCTGGATCAGGTCAACTCGGACCCAAACCAACTCGGACCCATTCCAACTCGGACCCATGCCAACTCGGACCCATTCCAACTCAGACCCATGCCAACTCGGACCCAGGACCAACTCGGACCCACGCCAACTCGGACCCAATACTAACTCGGACCCACGACCATCTCGGACCCACAACCAACTCGGAC